CGGAACACTAGGTTCATAAGTGCAGATTGGAAGGACTTCACCTCCCAGATCTACGACATCAAACTCAAGATGACGTCTGACCGACATCCCGAAGCCAATGGACTGGCCGATGAGGTCAACCAGACTGTGATCCAACTTCTCCGAGCTCTAATTGTGCCTGATCAGAACTCTTGGGATGAGGAATTGCCGATTGTGCAAGGACTGTACAACAACTCCACACACTACTCCACAGGGATGCCACCTAATCAGTTGCACCTCGGGTGGCAAATTCATAATCCCCTATCCTATTTGTTTCCTGACAGCCATCTGGCCTAACACCTGGTCAGCCAGGCTACAGTGCTAAGTTTGATCGCTTGCTCAAAGTTGTTGTCGCAGCTATGGAAAAGCGATGCAGTGCCATGATTAAACATGCTTACAAAAAGCGGCAGCCTGAACCTTTCACAGTGGGAAGTTATGTTTGGGTCAAAATGACTGAGTTTTCTGAAGAGAAGGGGTATCACGAAAGCTTCTTCCTTAGTACTATGGTCTATGGAAGGTGCTGAACCAAGTAGGGGATGATTCATTTGGTCCTTCTTACACGATCAACGTGCCTCCTCATCTGCACACGTACCCAGTCTTTCACGTGTCGAAGTTATTCCCGTATGGGCCACCGGAAACTTTTCCATATCGAGAATCGATGATTCCTCGCGCAATCAAGGGCGGTCACGAGGTTGATAAAATTGTCGAGCACAGTGGAAAAGGGAGAAACAGACAATCTAAAGTTCATTTTCTATACCACCCATTGAATGACTTTTACTGGATTGCTAAGAAAGATTTGCTGCAGAGTGCCCCGCGAGTCGTCAACGCATATGAACGACTGTTTAGTTCCCAACAGCAACCTAGATTCATTGCTACCCTTACTCCTATGGAACATACGCGATCTCTCTTGGCCATTTACGCCTATGATGCATTATGCGGGGACTCTGATTGAGTTACTCGCTCGAAGGGACCTCGCTCTTGAGGGGGGGGGTAGTGTAATGACCCGCCATAACACAGACTGAGAACAGTGCTGATTTCTGGAGTTCTGCCAATGGAATGGATGCCTTGCTGAGATTCCCGCATTCTGCTGAGTTTTCTAAGTCTGTGTGTGTGCGTGCTTGTTGACCTGCGTGTCGGTATGAGTGTGTGTGACCCGCAAGGTTACTTGCTTGTTTGGCAGGCTCGTAGGGCCGGTACTTACCTGTGGCCGTGGCATTGAGGGTTGCAGCAGGGAAAACACTCGAGTAGCGGAGCCAGGGGCCCCCGGTGCTTAGAGCAGTGGAAAAACACTCAAGTAGCAGGTAGGCCAGTACCACACCCAGTAGCAGTAGATGTGCCGGGTACTTGAGGTCGAGCAGAAGAAGACAAAGTTGGCATTTTTAGAGGCCCAGTAGCGGTAGGCTAGGTCTAGGCCGGTACCAGTCCATC